CCCCAAAACCCCAAAACCCCGGTTGGCAAATTTGTAGTAAATTTTAAGTGTAGGTAATTGAGTAATTTATGAACAAGAAAATGTAAATTTGATATTTTTAGCCTAATATATAGAGAAACGCGGGGAGAATTAATTTTTCATCCTAATTAGGAAACAGGGGAATTTGACTATAATCAAACACACGAAAATTAAATGTCTTCACAGCATTCAAGGCAATATGCTAACACTGATAACAGAGATTCGAAACCATTTGGTAGACCTAGAGGAGTTGATGATTATCCTACTGGAGAAAGAAAGTTCTCACAATCAACTTAAAAGCATGGTACTATTGGAGCTGGTCCTAGGGGCCCTCCATAGTGCTTTAATTGTTCTGAAGAAGGTCATATGTCCCGTGAGTGTCCTAACAAGGGTGAAAAACTCTAAAAGAAGTATGAGAAAAATTTAGATAATAAAAATAGCTATAACGATGATCCTGTCCAAGAAAAGAGGAGAGAGAGTGCAATTGGATGGGCAGCAGATGATGGATGGAATGATGATAAAGACTCTAGCAAGAAATCAAATGGCTTGCTGAATTAGCACGATTAGAGTACTACAAACACTATAAATATAATTAGTGCCTAAAATGGCTGGGGTTAGGAATCACCAGAGAAAACAAAATAGACTTCATCAGGATGGGAAGATGGGACTGATGATAAACCTTGGGGAGGATTATCAGTATTTAGAGAATCAAGAGATAGTCCACCAAGATCCCGATTTTCATAGGATAATAGAGATGGAAATAGAGGAAGAGGTATTGGATAAGGAGGAGGTGGTGATAGAGCTTGCTTCAGGTGTAATGAGCACGGCCATATGGCAAGAGAATGTCCGAATCCTGATACAAGACCTTAAAATGGTGGGGGAAGAGGAAGAGGTGGTTTCCGTGGAGGTATGTAAGGAGGAAATTAAAATTCAGGCTAAAGTCAAGGCAAAAGCTGCTTTAAATGCGGTTAAACAGGACATTTCTCAAGAGAATGTCCTAATTAACCTATGAGAAGAGAAGGTGGAGATTTTCGATTAAATAACAGAGATAATGGTAATGGGGAGCGTCCTAGGTTTAACAGAGATAATTAAAATAGTTCTGGTAATACATGCTTTAAATGCCAGTAATCAGGCCATTTTGCAAGGGAATGTCCCAATGAAGAAAGTGGTGAAAGGTAATACAAAAGATAAAGAAGAGACGATGGTGGTGGTTCGATTAGAAGAGATTATAATCGTAATGATTAAATAGGAGGCGGCAATAATAGTCGTCCAGGTGGAAATAGAGATTATAATTAAAGTAGAAGAGAAGGTGGTGATTAACCTTCTGGATGGGGTGGAGAAGGAGGCTGGGAAAATTAAGGAGATTTAGGATTTAAGAATAGTAGGCATCGAGATGATGATAATGAAAGCGATAATGGCTGGAGTAAGTGTAAGAATTATAATGCTAATGATTATTAGAGAAATGATAGGTTAATTTACCCAAGATGGGGTAATCCAGATGACAATAATGATGGAAGTTGGTGATTACTGATTTTTAAAGATTTTTTAAAAGATTATTCCCAAATCTCTATTCTTTTTATAATTGGTGAATCTCAAGCTTGTGTAGCTAATTTAATTTTTCACTTCGTATATTTTACTTAAAATCATTCAATAAGATAGAGTTTAATTTTTTCAATTCGCATTAATTTTAATTCTAAAATTAACAAAAAAAGTAACATTGAGGCAAAAGGGGTTTTGGGGTTTTGGGGTTTTGGGGTTTTGGGG